GGGCTTGCTCGAGCACGTGAAGTTCTTCGAGGTAGCAGACTGATCTGTGATGCCATTTTTTCTTCTCCTGTTTCCTCCTGTTAGCAGCACAGAACTCATTTTTTTCTTGGCAATATCATTGTAATAGGGATCCCTGACTCTCCTAATTGCAAGCTTAGCATTCAGTCCCTTAATTCTGCTTTTAACACTGGGGAGGGACAACTCCTCTCGTAGATTAGACGATTTGACAGTTCTTGGAATGATTGTCATGGCTTCATTCTGAATGCTTTCGAGCCTTTTCATATCGTTTTGGGAGTAGGTGCACAAAACTGGTGCGGCATAGTCTATGACGGAGCGCACATAGGCTGTGTACATAATTTTAAGCACGGCAATAGAGGCTCCATGTCCATTCCAGGTCATAGCTTTCAGTGCCCTGAGTCGACTTTTGCATGTTCCTATGAGTTGGTTGAGCTCCTCTTTCTTCCCCTTGTTAGAGCCGACAGTGGCGCCAAGGTACCGATAGTGGTCAACCATTCAAGTGTTACACCATTAATTTACAGTTCTTCATTTTCTCCCCGCTTGTGATGAGAGTATGCCTTCGTCTTGTTTGTGGAGAGTGAAACCGAGCTCATTGCATTTCCTTCCAAGGAGTTCAATGGACTGTTTAATTTTTCCCAAGGTTGGGGCTTGTATTAGACATCATCTGCATATCCCACTTGTTGTGTTCCTTCTGGAAAATCAATATTTGCAATGGCGTTCATAAGTACATTGAATAGTGTGGGGCTTAAGACTCCGCCTTGGGGGGGTCCCGAGTTCCATATTCATTGTTCTTGAGACTGCTCGATTGAAGCAGACCTTGGCTTTCCTCCCTGTGAGGGAGATCCTTCAACCCATTTCAAGAGTCTTCCCTTGACATCCATGCATGAAAGCTCGTCCAGGATCGCAATTCCTCGTGCTTTATCTAAGGCACCTTTGATGTCAACAAATACAGAGTACCTAGTGTGACGGTGTTCCCCCCCTTATATTTCTCCCACGCCAGCTGTAAGAGTCATATCTACTTTACCCGAACGTTCTCTGCCTTCCAGAGAACAATTTGATATATGTGGGAGCATGAGGTGTTCTCGCATAGGAGAGAAATTAACTAAAGAAGAGTGTTTTGGCCAGTGGCTTAGGTCCTTTTGGACGCCAAGATGGCGCCGACTCCTACGTTTTCGCGCCAAAATGTAATGACGTCAGTGGCACCAGGTTGGCCAAGAACGGTGACGTGGTACAGGGAGCCAATGAGAAACGCTCCTGGCAAGTGTGACGTCACGAGTGGAGGTAGGTCCGGGTCGTGTGCCCCCGTGGCGCCAGGAGTTAGATACGACACTTCGTCAAGGGCGGACGTGCGATAGAGGGACGTCACGCCAATAGTATGAGTATAATGAGGAAGTGAACAGTGTGAGGAACAGTGAGGAGTGTGAGTGGGCGTGGCATCTCGCAAGTTGCTAAACGTTCGATAACACCGCATGTGGAGCGTGGGAACCCACGTCAACTGGGAGTGTTGCCATTCCCGGAGTGTTCCAGAATTGTGAAGAGGCGGAGAGAAGGCTGCTCATTTATTCCTTTGCTATGTTGTTGATGCAGAGTTATGATTCTTTGATCTTTTAAGTAAACTACAAAACCACCGCCTTGTTTGTGTCAACCCTCCGTTACCTTGTTGCTATTGAGACTATCTAAGAGTGAGTGATTTAAACATATACTTACCTGTTACCAAATTGATTAGTATTCCCTGGGGCCCCTACTATATTACTACTATTCCACTGAGGTGTTACTGGACACAGTAAACACTTGCGACCAAACAGTTGGCGACCTATAAGGAGCGGTAGAGCCCTCTGTCGGGGCGGGCACATGATCAAGTGAAGTGATTGTGTTCTCACTCGTCTTTAGGCTACGAGGCCAGCCGGAGACAGACTGAGAGATTCTCCTGGTGAACCGTGGCACCGTGAGGATCGAGTGCAGACCCGTGGGGGCTACAGTAAGTAACGTTTATCACTACTAATACTTGGTGGTGACTGGCTAGAGAGACACCCCGACACTAGCCGAGTCATTAGGCAAGTAATTAACTATACAGTTTGCTGTGCTCTGTTCTATAACAAATCACAGGGTGACCTACCTATAGTGCTGGAGAGTGAGCGTGGTGAGGGTGGAGGGTGACCTACCTATAGTGCTGGAGGGTGAGCGTGGTGAGGGTGGAGGGTGACCTATAGTGCTGGAGGGTGAGGGTGGAGGGTGACCTACTTGTAGTGCTGGAGGGTGAGGGTGGAGGGTGACCTACCTGTAGTGCTGGAGGGCGAGCGTGGTGAGGGTGGAGGGTGACCTACCTATAGTGCTGGAGGGTGAGCGTGGTGAGGGTGGAGGGTGACCTACCTATAGTGCTGGAGGGTGAGGGTGGAGGGTGACCTACCTGTAGTGCTGGAGGGCGAGGGTGGAGGGTGACCTACCTGTAGTGCTGGAGAGCGAACGTGGTGAGGGTGGAGGGTGACCTACCTATAGTGCTGGAGGGTGAGGGTGGAGGGTGACCTACCTGTAGTGCTGGAGGGCGAGCGTGGTGAGGGTGGAGGGTGACCTACCTGTAGTGCTGGAGGGCGAACGTGGTGAGGGTGGAGGGTGACCTACCTGTAGTGCTGGAGAGCGAACGAGGGTGGAGGGTGACCTACCTGTAGTGCTGGAGGGTGAGGGTGGAGGGTGACCTACCTATAGTGCTGGAGGGCGAACGTAGTGCTGAGGGTGGAGGGTGACCTACCTGTAGTGCTGGAGGGTGAGGGTGCTGGAGGGCGAACGTGGTGAGGGTGGAGGGTGACCTACCTGTAGTGCTGGAGGGCGAGCGTGGTGAGGCTGGAGGGTGACCTGGAGGGTGAGCTATAGTGCTGGAGGGTGAGCGTGGTGAGGGTGGAGGGTGACCTACCTATAGTGGTGACCTACCTACCTATAGTGCTGGAGGGCGAGGGTGGAGGGTGACCTACCTGTAGTGCTGGAGGGCGAGCGTGGTGAGGGTGGAGGGTGACCTACCTGTAGTGCTGGAGGGTGAGGGTGGAGGGTGACCTACCTGTAGTGCTGGAGGGCGAGGGTGGAGGGTGACCTACCTGTAGTGCTGGAGGGCGAGTGTGGTGAGGGTGGAGGGTGACCTACCTGTAGTGCTGGAGGGCGAGCGTGGTGAGGGTGGAGGGTGACCTACCTGTAGTGCTGGAGGGCGAACGTGGTGAGGGTGGAGGGTGACCTACCTGTAGTGCTGGAGAGCGAGTGTGGTGAGGGTGGAGGGTGACCTACCTGTAGTGCTGGAGGGCGAGTGTGGTGAGGGTGGTGAGGGTGGAGGGTGACCTACCTGTAGTGCTGGAGGGTGAGTGTGGAGGGTGACCTACCTGTAGTGCTGGAGGGCGAGCGTGGTGAGTGTGGAGGGTGACCTACCTGTAGTGCTGGAGGGCGAGGGTGGAGGGTGACCTACCTGTAGTGCTGGAGGGCGAACGTGGTGAGGGTGGAGGGTGACCTACCTGTAGTGCCGGAGAGCGAGTGTGGTGAGGGTGGAGGGTGACCTACCTGTAGTGCTGGAGGGCGAGTGTGGTGAGGGTGGAGGGTGACCTACCTGTAGTGCTGGAGGGCGAGCGTGGTGAGGGTGGAGGGTGACCTACCTGTAGTGCTGGAGGGCGAGTGTGGTGAGGGTGGAGGGTGACCTACCTGTAGTGCTGGAGGGTGAGTGTGGTGAGGGTGGAGGGTGACCTACCTGTAGTGCTGGAGGGCGAGCGTGGTGAGGGTGGAGGGTGACCTACCTGTAGTGCTGGAGGGTGAGGGTGGAGGGTGACCTACCTGTAGTGCTGGAGGGCGAGTGTGGTGAGGGTGGAGGGTGACCTACCTGTAGTGCTGGAGGGTGAGTGTGGAGGGTGACCTACCTGTAGTGCTGGAGGGTGAGCGTGGTGAGGGTGTAGGGTGACCTACCTGTAGTGCTGGAGGGTGAGGGTGGAGGGTGACCTACCTGTAGTGCTGGAGGGTGAGCGTGGTGAGGGTGGAGGGTGACCTACCTGTAGTGCTGGAGGGTGAGGGTGGAGGGTGACCTACCTGTAGTGCTGGAGGGCGAGTGTGGTGAGGGTGGAGGGTGACCTACCTGTAGTGCTGGAGGGTGAGCGTGGTGAGGGTGGAGGGTGACCTACCTGTAGTGCTGGAGGGCGAGCGTGGTGAGGGTGGAGGGTGACCTACCTGTAGTGCTGGAGGGTGAGTGTGGTGAGGGTGGAGGGTGACCTACCTGTAGTGCTGGAGGGTGAGTGTGGAGGGTGACCTACCTGTAGTGCTGGAGGGCGAGTGTGGTGAGGGTGGAGGGTGACCTACCTGTAGTGCTGGAGGGCGAGCGTGGTGAGGGTGGAGGGTGACCTACCTGTAGTGCTGGAGGGCGAGCGTGGTGAGGGTGGAGGGTGACCTACCTGTAGTGCTGGAGGGTGAGGGTGGAGGGTGACCTACCTGTAGTGCTGGAGGGCGAGTGTGGTGAGGGTGGAGGGTGACCTACCTGTAGTGCTGGAGGGCGAGACCTACCGTGGTGAGGGTGGAGGGTGACCTACCTGTAGTGCTGCGAGTGTGGTGAGGGTGGAGGGTGACCTACCTGTAGTGCTGGAGGGCGAGTGTGGTGAGTGTGTAGGGTGACCTACCTGTAGTGCTGGAGGACGAGTGTGGTGAGGGTGGAGGGTGACCTACCTGTAGTGCTGGAGGGCGAGTGTGGTGAGGGTGGAGGGTGACCTACCTGTAGTGCTGGAGGGCGAGGGTGGAGGGTGAGGGTGGAGGGGAGGGTGGAGGGTGACCTACCTGTAGTGCTGGAGGGTGAGGGTGGAGGGTGACCTACCTGTAGTGCTGGAGGGTGAGGGTGGAGGGTGACCTACCTGTAGTGCTGGAGGGCGAGCGTGGTGAGGGTGGAGGGTGACCTACCTGTAGTGCTGGAGGGTGAGGGTGGAGGGTGACCTACCTGTAGTGCTGGAGGGTGAGGGTGGAGGGTGACCTACCTGTAGTGCTGGAGGGCGAGCCTGGGGGCGTGTTGGTTGTATTTGGTGACAGTCACTGTCAGCTCCTTGTTGATCGCCTTCCCCGCCAGCAGCGCCACCACAATGATGTGGTACTCCTCCCCGGCGGCCTTCTCCAGGTACCTGTACACACAGTACCAGTTATACCAGCCCCGGGTCACCCCAGGTACCTGTATACACAGTACCAGTTATACCAGCCCCAGGTCACCCCGGGTACCTGTACACACAGTACCAGTTATACCAGCCCCGGGTCACCCCAGGTACCTGTACACACAGTACCAGTTATACCAGCCCCAGGTCACCCCAGGTACCTGTACACACAGTACTAGTTATACCAGGCCCAGGTCACCCCAGGTACCTGTACACACAGTACTAGTTATACCAGGCCCAGGACACCCCAGGTACCTGTACACACAGTACTAGTTATACCAGGCCCAGGTCACCCCTGGTACCTGTACACACAGTACTAGTTATACCAGGCCCAGGTCACCACAGGTACCTGTACACACAGTACCAGTTATACCAGGCCCAGGTCACCCCAGGTACCTGTACACACAGTACTAATTATACCAGCCCCAGGTCACCCCAGGTACCTGTACACACAGTACTAGTTATACCAGGCCCAGGTCACCCCAGGTACCTGTATACACAGTACTAGTTATACCAGGCCCAGGTCACCCCAGGTACCTGTACACACAGTACTAATTATACCAGCCCCAGGTCACCCCAGGTACCTGTACACACAGTACAAGTTATACCAGGCCCAGGTCACCCCAGGTACCTGTACACACAGTACCAGTTATACCAGCCCCGGGTCACCCCAGGTACCTGTACACACAGTACCAGTTATACCAGCCCCAGGTCACCCCAGGTACCTGTACACACAGTACCAGTTATACCAGGCCCAGGTCACCCCAGGTACCTGTATACACAGTACTAGTTATACCAGGCCCAGGTCACCCCTGGTACCTGTACACACAGTACCTGTTATACCAGGCCCAGGTCACCCCAGGTACCTGTATACACAGTACCAGTTATACCAGCCCCAGGTCACCCCAGGTACCTGTATACACAGTACCTGTTATACCAGCCCCAGGTCACCCCAGGTACCTGTACACACAGTACCAGTTATACCAGCCCCAGGTCACCCCAGGTACCTGTACACACAGTACCAGTTATACCAGCCCCAGGTCACCCCAGGTACCTGTACACACAGTACCAGTTATACCAGCCCCAGGTCACCCCAGGTACCTGTACACACAGTACTAGTTATACCAGGCCCAGGTCACCCCAGGTACCTGTATACACAGTACTAGTTATACCAGGCCCAGGTCACCCCAGGTACCTGTACACACAGTACCTGTTATACCAGGCCCAGGTCACCCCAGGTACCTGTATACACAGTACCAGTTATACCAGCCCCAGGTCACCCCAGGTACCTGTATACACAGTACCTGTTATACCAGCCCCAGGTCACCCCAGGTACCTGTACACACAGTACCAGTTATACCAGCCCCAGGTCACCCCAGGTACCTGTACACACAGTACCAGTTATACCAGCCCCAGGTCACCCCAGGTACCTGTACACACAGTACCAGTTATACCTGTGGGAACCGACCTGTGAGATTTATATTTATTTGATTTATATGAATTTATATTTACGTTAATTTATATACTTCGATAGCAATTTGTATAATGATAAGTGGACTGTATTTCTGCAATAATCTCTTAATCTCACAAATCGATCCTCTACACATTAGGGGGGGTTTATATTACACATATGCAGCCAATCAAATTACAGTAATAGCTACATACATTGATGAGGTTCCTTCTCTTATAGTACAGCAGGTTAGTCCACCAGGTATAACTAGAGTGTAGACACCAAATTATCCTCTTTGAGGTAGCTTCCATATCACCCAGTAACTGGTGCACAAACTCTTCCTCGTCTTGACCTGTCAAAAGGGCGCTAACTGTGAAGCCAGAATCCTATATATGACAAGTTATATCAGAGAAAACAGTACATGGAACATGAGGACCTGGCTTAATTACCTTTAGTTTGAGGCTTCCATGTGATCTAACCGGATAACCCTACCCAATGACATTAATGGCCACTAATGATAGATAATGGGTTTCGGATAGACACTTAACTTGAATTTGTAGACAGCGTGTTGATAATGGTACACTTGGTTTCCATAACACTACGTCCAAGTAAATTAACAGGAGCCGAATTTGCTCCCGTGTGAGCCTCTGGTCTCAATATAAATGGCTGCATCTAACACTCCATTCTATTGACGTCACTGGCCGACATTGTCCAGAATGATAGGAGCCGAACTCGCTCCACACGTCTCGGAGGTGACACAACCATGGCTGCCCTCCTCCTCACTCTCGCCTGGCCTACTTTGTCCAGATTTCAGAAAGTGATAGAAGGGTCACATTTACTCTACTTTAATATTGATAATTAAGTTAATTTATATAAGATGTTTTTATGATGGTAAAGTCCAAAGACTAATGTATTTAAGAACAATTCCCAGCAGAATAGCTGGTGAATTATAATAGTATGTGGTGATGATATCCCGTTTTCTTTAGATGGTAATTCCACTACAAGTTACGTTTTCTATGGGTAACTTGTTGGTAATACAGCTATTTATTATCTGTCTGTATGATATATTAAATGGTGTCGGATTTTCCGACATAATTCCCCAGGGGGCTGCTCACGGGTCGAAGTCCTAATTAGAACAGACGAACACCGATACTCCTCCCTCGAATTATTAGATTAATTTGATGCTAGTAGTTAGTAATCACACATTTGTGTGTCTGTTCGTACAGGACGGATGTCCCGTACTAGAGTTGCAGGGGTTAGAAGTCTAATGCGATTTTATTTCCCTGTCAACTCTTGAAAGGCTAATATTCAAGCCTTATTACATATTATTTAACCCAGAAGACTGGATGTGATCAAGTACTACAGTCAAGTATGATTCAGGGACTGCAGTGAGATCAGTGACATTAGATATAACTTGAAGTTTCTTCAGGTAACTGGTCACTGATATATAAACACTGAGGCCCTTGGAATACATCTTGATTAAATAATAAATGTATCAAATCAGTCATCAGATTTATTGGGGTTTAATTTAGTTAATTGATTCAGAAGATTGAATAGCTCATCATTAAAGTAAAGTATGGTTCTGAGACTGCAGTGGGTTCAGTGACATTGGTCGCAGTGACTTGTAGCTGTTTTAGGCTACTGTTCACTGATTTGCCACTGAGGCCTCACGAACTCATCTCCAGCTTTAAATGATGATACTAACATCAACCTCTGTTACTATAGTCAGCTGTAATCTCCTTAGTATAATGCTACTGGAGAAATATAATCAGCTGACAAATTTAGATTTCTACTGGTATTGTTTATCTGCAGGCATAGGTCTCCTCAGGCTTGATACTGGGCCTGAGAGTAATTTACCTCCTGCAGAGTTTAACATGGTTATACCCTGATATTTAGTAGGGCTACCGATGAATCGATGACAGTAGTCTGTCCCCACAAGGACAGCCATTTGGCATTTGATTTGCTCAAATTTACCTGCAGCTGCTTGATAATAGCTTTCCAGGTCAGCATAATCAACTTGAGATTGTTGTGACAAATCTTCACATTTCTTGATCTGTCTTGTTAAGTGGCCTTTAAGACCTGCAAGGGTTCTTTTCATTCTCCCTGCATTATCCATACTGGCTCGTTGGTGAAGCCTTGTGGGACTTGTAGTTGGGCTGCTCATAATACTGAACAAACACTAATGGTAGCCTAGGGTAAATTCTGAACTCACTAGGCAATAATCCTACCTCTACTAGAGGTTAGCACTTAAAATTAATACACATTATATATATACAATCATCCACACTAATGATTTGAGTGATAAACCAGTGTCACTGGAAGTACCTTTAGGTTAGCTCTTCTATATCACCCTAGGATGGTAGAGACACTAATTAATCACTCAAAGGTGTAATGATCATAAGTAATTTATTATATATACAACTCAACTCGAGTTGTTAAAAATTACACCCAAAATAGGGTCTGGACCATTCATTAATGGTGTTAGGTTGATCAATATAGTACAACTGACTATGGTAATAATGGGACTAGGATGAACGATAATAGTTCAACTAGTCAATATCCTACCCTGTTGTGGGTTGGCAATTAGTAAATATTATATTGAGAACACTAGTGCAGTATATATTAAATGATTCTCTATTTTGGAGAAATAATATACACAATTATTGATAATAGCCTCTTAATTAGCCTCTATGAAACTTCTAATATTATCTAGAAGTATTAAATATTATTAGTGACCTCGCGAAATAAAGTCCACAAAATTCGTGGATAATCTCTCGCGAAATGTAACACCACGAAATCCGTGAACAATCTCGCGAAGACACAGTCACTAATTTGGCTGGATTCTATATTAGCGCTGTCATTTCACGAAATAACACGCCACCAAATATCTGTGGGTGTGCATGAAACCGCTGACGAAGGCTGAACTGGGCTGAGGGAGGCTCCTGAGCTCCCACGAGGCTTCGCCGCTGTCTTTGACTGGCTGGCTTTGTTTAAATAACACTGCACTAGTATATTTAATGAATCCACTGGTTAACTGGTTCATCCGGTACTAAGATGACCAAATGTGGGTTCAAAGGATCAAATAATCCGTCATCCGGTTCGAAGATGACCAAATAATGTGGGAACCGACCTGTGAGATTTATATTTATTTGATTTATATGAATTTATATTTACGTTAATTTATATACTTCGATAGCAATTTGTATAATGATAAGTGGACTGTATTTCTGCAATAATCTCTTAATCTCACAAATCGATCCTCTACACATTAGGGGGGGTTTATATTACACATATGCAGCCAATCAAATTACAGTAATAGCTACATACATTGATGAGGTTCCTTCTCTTATAGTACAGCAGGTTAGTCCACCAGGTATAACTAGAGTGTAGACACCAAATTATCCTCTTTGAGGTAGCTTCCATATCACCCAGTAACTGGTGCACAAACTCTTCCTCGTCTTGACCTGTCAAAAGGGCGCTAACTGTGAAGCCAGAATCCTATATATGACAAGTTATATCAGAGAAAACAGTACATGGAACATGAGGACCTGGCTTAATTACCTTTAGTTTGAGGCTTCCATGTGATCTAACCGGATAACCCTACCCAATGACATTAATGGCCACTAATGATAGATAATGGGTTTCGGATAGACACTTAACTTGAATTTGTAGACAGCGTGTTGATAATGGTACACTTGGTTTCCATAACACTACGTCCAAGTAAATTAACAGGAGCCGAATTTGCTCCCGTGTGAGCCTCTGGTCTCAATATAAATGGCTGCATCTAACACTCCATTCTATTGACGTCACTGGCCGACATTGTCCAGAATGATAGGAGCCGAACTCGCTCCACACGTCTCGGAGGTGACACAACCATGGCTGCCCTCCTCCTCACTCTCGCCTGGCCTACTTTGTCCAGATTTCAGAAAGTGATAGAAGGGTCACATTTACTCTACTTTAATATTGATAATTAAGTTAATTTATATAAGATGTTTTTATGATGGTAAAGTCCAAAGACTAATGTATTTAAGAACAATTCCCAGCAGAATAGCTGGTGAATTATAATAGTATGTGGTGATGATATCCCGTTTTCTTTAGATGGTAATTCCACTACAAGTTACGTTTTCTATGGGTAACTTGTTGGTAATACAGCTATTTATTATCTGTCTGTATGATATATTAAATGGTGTCGGATTTTCCGACAATACCAGCCCCAGGTCACCCCAGGTACCTGTATACACAGTACCAGTTATACCAGCCCCAGGTCACCCCAGGTACCTGTACACACAGTACCAGTTATACCAGCCCCAGGTCACCCCAGGTACCTGTACACACAGTACCAGTTATACCAGGCCCAGGTCACCCCAGGTACCTGTACACACAATACTAGTTATACCAGGCCCAGGTCACCCCAGGTACCTGTACACACAGTACTAGTTATACCAGGCCCAGGTCACCCCAGGTACATGTACACACAGTACTAGTTATACCAGCCCCAGGTCACCCCAGGTACCTGTACACACAGTACTAGTTATACCAGGCCCAGGTCACCCCAGGTACCTGTACACACAGTACTAGTTATACCAGCCCCAGGTCACCCCAGGTACCTGTACACACAGTACTAGTTATACCAGGCCCAGGTCACCCCAGGCACCTGTACACACAGTACTAGTTATACCAGCCCCAGGTCACCCCAGGTACCTGTACACACAGTACTAGTTATACCAGGCCCAGGTCACCCCAGGTACCTGTACACACAGTACTAGTTATACCAGGCCCAGGTCACCCCAGGTACCTGTACACACAGTACTAGTTATACCAGGCCCAGGTCACCCCAGGTACCTGTACACACAGTACCAGTTATACCAGGCCCAGGTCACCCCAGGTACCTGCACACACAGTACCAGTTATACCAGGCCCAGGTCACCCCAGGTACCTGTACACACAGTACCAGTTATACCAGCCCCAGGTCACCCCAGGTACCTGTACACACAGTACCAGTTTGTGCTGTACATGTACACCACACAGGTGCGGGTGTACACCACACAGGTGAAGGTGTACACCACACAGGTGAGGGTGTACACCACACAGGTGAAGGTGTACACCACACAGGTGAGGGTGTACACCACACAGGTGAGGGTGTACACCACACAGGTGAAGGTGTACACCACACAGGTGAGGGTGTACACCACACAGGTGAAGGAGTACACCACACAGGTGAGGGTGTACACCACACAGGTGAGGGTGTACACCACACAGGTGAAGGTGTACACCACACAGGTGAGGGTGTACACCACACAGGTGAGGGTGTACACCACACAGGTGAGGGTGTACACCACACAGGTGAAGGTGTACACCACACAGGTGAGGGTGTACACCACACAGGTGAAGGTGTACACCACACAGGTGAGGGTGTACACCACACAGGTGAGGGTGTACACCACACAGGTGAGGGTGTACATGTACAAGGTAGTGTGGGGGTCACACTGGGAGCAACACTAACACACAGTTTACACTGCTGGTGTACTTGTGGCCCGCCTCCACCACACCCGCCATGTTGGGCCTCCTCCCTCTCTCTCACTCTTTCTCACTCTCACTCTCTTGCTTACACTCTCGCTCTCACTCTCTCTTGCTTACACTCTCGCTATCACTCTCTCTTGCTTACACTCTCACTCTCACTCTCTCTTGCTTACACTCTCGCTCTCACTCTCTCTTGCTTACACTCTCGCTCTCTCACTCTCTCTTGCTTACACTCTCGCTCTTAACCTCTCGCTCTCACTCTCTCTTGCTTACACTCTCGCTCTCAAGCTCTCGCTCTCAACCTCTCGCTCTCACTCTCTCTTGCTTACGCTCTCGCTCTCAACCTCTCGCTCTCACTCTCTCTTGCTTACACTCTCGCTCTCTCTCTCTCACTCTCTCTCGCTTACAATCTCACTGTCTCGCTCCCTCACTGTCTCTCTCCCTCACTGTCTCTCTCCCTCACTGTCTCTCTCCCTCACTGTCTCTCTCACTGTCTCCCTCACTGTCACTCCTTCAGTGTCACTCTCACTGTCCCAGCAGCAGCAGGAGCAGCAGGGTGTGCAGGGTGAAGGTGAAGGTGAGACGGGGTCGGGGCGGGCGCGCGGGGACCCACCTGGCCGTGGTGATGTTGCCGCCGTGTTCGTGGATGGTGAAGAAGTTGTAGTCTGTCTGTGGGGACTGGTAGAGGAAGTAGCGAGGCTGTGGGGCGGGCGTGGGCGGGGTGTGGGCGTCGTCCACCGCCCTCACCACCGTCACCGCCACCCCCGAGGGCGCCGCCGCGTACACCCGGGGCGGCCGTCGGGGCTCCTCCAGGCGCAGCGACCCTGTGGGAGGACACCAAGGGTCAGAGGCGCTCTCATTCTATACCAACATTATACATATACATATACATATAACTATAATATATAACTACTCTAACTCCTCATACATATATACATATATATATAGCTACTCCTCTAACTCCTCTACATATATAAGGGTGTTATCAATAGCTTTAGCGTGAGTCTTCTCGTGCTAATTGTATAATGACTTTAATTATATTTTGCTTCACTTGAGAAGGAAGTGGAAAATTAGCTCTTAAAGGATCATTTGAACAGTTTTATTTATGGTGAGGCGGAGTTATGATGGTGCAGTATGGTGAGTGTTGACACTGGTGGTGGTGTTATGATGGTGCAGTATGGTGAGTGTTGACACTGGTGGTGGAGTTATGATGGTGCAATATGGTGAGTGTTGACACTGGTGGTGTTATGATGGTGCAGTATGGTGAGTGTTGACACTGGTGGTGGTGTTATGATGGTGCAGTATGGTGAGTGTTGGTGGTGTTATGATGGTGCAGTATGGTGAGTGTTGACACTGGTGGCGGAGTTATGATGGTGCAGTATGGTGAGTGTTGGTGGTGTTATGATGGTGCAGTATGGTGAGTGTTGACACTGGTGGTGGAGTTATGATGGTGCAGTATGGTGAGTGTTGACACTGGTGGTGGTGTTATGATGGTGCAGTATGGTGAGTGTTGACACTGGTGGTGGAGTTATGATGGTGCAGTATGGTGAGTGTTGACACTGGTGGTGTTATGATGGTGCAGTATGGTGAGTGTTGACACTGGTGGTGGTGTTATGATGGTGCAGTATGGTGAGTGTTGACACTGGTGGTGATCTATGGGTGTTCACTCCAACTCCCTGGTATTGGGTGCTATGTAGACAACGCCATCTGTTGGTGGTGGCGTGGTGTCAGTGGACGGTTCCGGTTTCCTGCCTCAGTTACAAGGTGAGGTCGATGACGACGACCTCTGGTGGGTGGCGTATTGAGATCAACGCCATCTAGGTTGTGGCTACAAGTTACAATATCAATTCCCCGCTGGAACGGTGTAATCCTAAGGTCACCCAGTGTACTGTCCGTCTAATTAATGACGTTTTATGTTCACAGAGTCGACGTAAGGAGGCGATTGCACTGAGGAGGGCAGTTCACCTTGGGTAGTCCTGAACTCTTGAGTTGGTCCTGTGAGAGGACAAAGTGGCCGTCGTCGGTTATAGCAGTGTGTTAGCTGCTGGTTAATGCAGTGTTGTATGAACCGACGTACCCGGGATTGGTCAGTAAGAGTTACAAGACGACAGTAGTGCGTCTGTTGACAAGTGCTGCTAGCCAGCGACAAGTAAAGTAAGTCAATTTTATTCAGGAAAGTACATATATAGTTGATTTACAAACATAATGTTGGATTTATAGATAGAGGTAGTACATACAATACCTAAAGCCACTAGTACGTATAGCGTTCCGGCCAAACTTCTGCCAGAGTGTTAACTACCCGAGTATGTGATTGAGACCCCTGTATGTGATTGAGGCCCCTGTCAGTGTGTTGCTGAACCCTCTGGCAGTGTGTATATGGGGAATGGTGGCGGGGTAGTGGCACATTGTGACTATACGGTGTGTGTGGACTGGCCCATGTTGAGGAAGGTGGACTCACCGGTGTTTACCATTAGGTGCACGACGTGTACCTGGAAGGTGGACTCACCGGTGTTTACCATTAGGTGCACGACGTGTACCTGGAAGGTGGACTCACCGGGAGTGATGAACACTGACGATGTATTGTCCTGTGTGAAAGTGACACTTTGTAAATATGTGTAGTAATACTTTCATTTTACATATATATATGGCGGTGAAGTTGTTAAAATATTGGTGCAGGTAATTGTGTATTGCTTATCCCCCTCCCCCCCCTTTTAATTCATTGCACTACTACTTGTCACGGACAGTTCTTGAAAGATTACTTTCAAGGTATGACTTGTGGGTTGGGTATAGAGGAAGAGGTTATAACAGCATGAACCCGGTTACTGGTCCAAGTGGCCGTAACAAGGGGCCCCTCTCCTGGGGGTGTCCGCCCCCTCTCTCCTGGGGGTGTCCGCCCCCTCTCTCCTGGGGGTGTCCCGCCCCCTCTCTCCTGGGGGTGTCCGCCCCCCTCTCCTGGGGGTGTCCCGCCCCCTCTCTCCTGGGGGTGTCCGCCCCCCTCTCCTGGGGGTGTCCGCCCCCCCTCTCTCTCCTGGGGGTGTCCGCCCCCCCTCTCTCTCCTGGGGGTGTCCGCCCCCTCTCTCTCCTGGGGGTGTCCGCCCCCTCTCTCTCCTGGGGGTGTCTGCCCCCTCTCTCTCCTGGGGGTGTCCGCCCCCTCTCTCTCCGGGGGGTGTCCGCCCCCTCTCTCTCCGGGGGGTGTCCGCCCCCTCTCTCTCCGGGGGTGTCCGCCCCCTCTCTCTCCTGGGGGTGTCCGCCCCCTCTCTCTCCTGGGGGTGTCCGCCCCCCCTCTCTCTCCTGGGGGTGTCCGCCCCCTCTCTCTCCTGGGGGTGTCCGCCCCCCCTCTCTCTCCTGGGGGTGTCCGCCCCCCCTCTCTCTCCTGGGGGTGTCCGCGCGCCCCCCCCTCTTCTGGGGGTGTCCGCGCGCCCCCTCTCTCTCCTGGGGGTGTCCGCGCGCCCCCCCTCTCCTGGGGGTGTCCGCGCGCGCCCCCCCTCTCCTGGGGGTGTCCGCGCGCGCCCCCCCCTCTCCTGGGGGTGTCCGCGCGCCCCCCCTCTCCTGGGGGTGTCCGCGCGCCCCCCCCTCTCCTGGGGGTGTCCGCGCGCCCCCCCCCTCTCCTGGGGGTGTCCGCACGCGCCCCCCCCTCTCCTGGGGGTGTCCGCGCGCGCCCCCCTCTCCTGGGGGTGTCCGCGCGCGCCCCCCCCTCTCCTGGGGGTGTCCGCCCCCCCCTCTCCTGGGGGTGTCCGCCCCCCCCTCTCCTGGGGGTGTCCGCCCCCCCCTCTCCTGGGGGTGTCCACCCCCCTCTCCTGGGGGTGTCCGCCCCCCCCTCTCCGGGGGGTGTGCGCCCCCCCCCTCTCCTGGGGGTGTCCGCCCCCCCCTCTCTCTCCTGGGGGTGTCCGCCCCCCCTCTCTCTCCTGGGGGTGTCCGCCCCCCCTCTCTCTCCTGGGGGTGTCCGCCCCCTCTCTCTCCTGGGGGTGTCCGCCCCCCTCTCTCTCCTGGGGATGTCCGCCGCCCCCCCCCTCTCCTGGGGGTGTCCCGCCTCTCCTGGGGGGGGGGAGGAGTGGTCAGGAGAGTAACATCAGCACCCACCACCACTGGGGGGGGGACCAGGACCACCACTGGGGGGGGGACCAGGACCACCACTGGTGTCAACACAATGATAAAATTCTTGGAAGACGTTCAGGTCTTCTTAATATTTGGTGTGTGAGTCACGGCGCACGTGGCTGTGTCCGCTGTGTGTCCTGGCTCCCCCCTGTGTCCTGGCTCCCCCTGTGTGTCCTGTGTCTCCCTGTGTCCTGGCTCCCCCTGTGTGTCCTGGCTCTCCCTGTGTGTCCTGGCTCCCCCTGTGTGTCCTGGCTCCCAATGTGTGTGTCCTGGATCCCCCCTGTGTGTCCTGGCTCCCCTGTGTGTCCTGGCTCTCCCCTGTGTGTCCTGGCTCTCCCCTGTGTGTCCTGGCTCTCCCCTGTGTGTCCTGGCTATCCCCTGTGTGTCCTGGCTCTCCCCCGTGAGTCCTGGCTCTCCCCCGTGTGTCCTGGCTCTCCCCCGTGAGTCCTGGCTCTCCCCCGTGTGTCCTGGCTCTCCCCCGTGTGTCCTGGCTCTCCCCCGTGTGTCCTGGCTCTCCCCCGTGAGTCCTGGCTCTCCCTGTGTCCTGGCTCTCCCTGTGTCCTGGCTCTCCCCCGTGTGTCCTGGCTCTCCCTGTGTGTCCTGGCTCTCCCCCGTGTGTCCTGGCTCTCCCTGTGTGTCCTGGCTCTCCCTGTGTCCTGGTTCTCCCCTGTGTGTCCTGGCTCTCCCCTGTGTGTCCTGGCTCTCCCTCGTGTGTCCTGGCTCTCCCCTGTGTGTCCTGGCTCTCCCCTGTGTGTCCTGGCTCTCCCCTGTGTGTCCTGGCTCTCCCCTGTGTGTCCTGGCTCTCCCCTGTGTGTCCTGGCTCTCCCCTGTGTGTCCTGGCTCCCCCTGTGTGTCCTGGCTCTCCCCTGTGTGTCCTGGCTCCCCCTGTGTGTCCTGGCTCTCCCCTGTGTGACCTGGTGATCACCACCAACAAGGGGGGAGGGACCTGGTGATCACCACTAACAAGGGGGGACCCGGTGATCACCACTAACAAGGGGGGACCCGGTGATCACCACTAACAAGGGGGGACCCGGTGATCACCACTAACAAGGGGGGGGAACCTGGTGATCACCACTAACAAGGGGGGGGGGGACCCGGTGATCACCACTAACAAGGGGGACCCGGTGATCACAACTAACAAGGGGGGGGACCTGGTGATCACCACTAACAAGGGGGACCCGGTGATCACCACTAACAAGGGGGGGGGGAGGGACCTGGTGATCACCACTAACAAGGGGAGGGACCTGGTGATCACCACTAACAAGGGGGGGAGGGACCTGGTGATCACCACTAACAAGGGGGACCCGGTGATCACCAACTAACAAGGGGGGGGACCTGGTGATCACCACTAACAAGGGGAGGGACATGGTGATCACCACTAACAAGGGGGACCCGGTGATCACCACTAACAAGGGGGACCCGGTGATCACCACTAACAAGGGGGGGAGGGACCTGGTGATCACCACTAACAAGGGGGGGGGACCTGGTGATCACCACTAACAAGGGGGGGGGACCTGGTGATCACCACTAACAAGGGGGGGACCTGGTGATCACCACTAACAAGGGGGGGACCTGGTGATCACCACTAACAAGGGGGGGGACCTGGTGATCACCACTAACAAGGGGGGAGGGACCTGGTGATCACCACTAACAAGGGGGACCTGGTGATCACCACTAACAAGGGGGGAGGGACCTGGTGATCACCACTAACAAGGGGGGACCTGGTGATCACCACTAACAAGGGGGACCTGGTGATCACCACTAAC